TGCTATAACTCTATTTAGAAATTATTAGGCTATTTTGATAGGTAACAAATATTTATTCAATTTTCCAAGAATGCTTCATTGTATATTTTAAAGAAATTGACATATTAGGATAGCAGCAAAAAAATTATTGTGCATATTATGAACACTTAGAAATATCTATTTTGCTATTAAATGTGAAAATGAAATAACTAAAAACAGAACTTATATGAAATCTTGCCCAGTTCATTTAGTTATTTTTCACTATTTTAGGAAATAGTAGCTTTAAAAAATATAATGAAGATGAATTATATCTTCAAGGTTTTAATTCAGTAAAGAAATACAACATTTTGACAAATAATTTTTCCTATTATATCAATAATTTTGATTCTGAGTTTTAATGAAAAGATTTGCATTGTGAACTCAGATTAAAGGAAATTCATAGGCCATAGGGATGAAATGTACTAAAGTGGGGACTTGCCAGTTAAGAAATACATTTTCCGCTGGAATATCCTTGGGCAGAAGAGGCAGAGCCTGGAGCCTCCTACCCTGTGGTGTCCACATGCGCACTCACCGTAAGGAAATAGGTCAAACCCGAGAGGTTTTGGCAGCCAGCCTTCAATAAACCCTAGAAGGGAGTCAGACAGGAGTCAGAAAAAAGGCCTCTCTCAAAAGATTAAGAATTTTATCAGAGGAGGTATAATGCAATTTAGTTGCCTTAAAGCTAGAACTTTTAGTTCTGCATTTATTCTTATTTATTCCACTTCCCAGAATACGTTCCCTCTCTCCTTCATGTCCCCACACTCCACACAGTAACAACAATAAACACTCTCTGGCTAAGGTCTGTCTTTCTTTGAGCCACAGTTTAGGTCAGATTTCCTCTTGAAAGCATGTACTTTGCTCACATTTGGCTACACATCTACTGGACCCCATACTTCCCTAATCGTCGTCCAGATCACTCTACATCCCAGGTGTCTGTTACTGATCCATCCCTCTGCTGGACTCCAGATCTTGTTCACTGTAGTATCCTTAGCAGACTTCTGACATAGAGCAGGTGCTCAATGAATATGTGTTGAGTAAAGGAATGAATATAAGTATGTATATATATATGAAGTATGTTTTAAGTAGCTTTGTAGTGCAAAGAAATACTTGAAAAACAGCTCCTGAGAAATAAGCTCTCTGTGAAGCCTCTCTAAATAATATTCATGACCCTCAGATATTCCATATATCCCTCAAATCCCATGAAACTTTTTGCCTTTACCCAGATTTTTGACCTCACACCTGGCTTGATGCTCTTTACCATGCGTGAGTTTCTACTCAACACAATCTTTGGAGGAGGGAAATCAATGCTCATACATGCCTCCATTGATTTATTAATTCATTCATTCAACAAGCATATACTAAAAGTTTACTATATACAAATCACAACAAATACAGATTTAATCAAGATACATAATCACCAACTCTAAAAAAGGCCTGCTCAGATTTAGTGGTACAAAAGTGTTTATATCCATATGTGAACATTGTTAGAAAACAGAAACTATATTACCCAGCATGCTTTCATTTCCTCCTTCGTTTTCATACAGCATAGAGCCTAATTTATTATGCAAATGTAATATGCGCAGCTCTGTAATTTGATTTTATTCCCTTTAGAACAGATTTTTTAAAATCCATATTTATTTTATTTGGCCCGTGGGTTAATCTATAGACCACTTCAGCCCATTTAGAACTGAACAAGATTCAAATCTTAAATAAAATAAAAACATTTTTATTAACCATAATTTAAATTATTAATACAATTCTTTCATGTGTTTAAGTAGAAAGCCTACCATATAAAGAATGATTTTGTATATTTTGTAAAACTACTTTTTTGGCAATGAATGATTTTTGTGATGGAAGAATATTATATATTTCTCTTATAGTCAAATGCTAGAAAAAACTTCATCTCCCTTGATGATGCAGTAAATTATGATATTTGCATATCTTATATTATTGTTTGACGTTTTTACCTTTGCTGCCAGGAGGTATAGAGCTCAATTTCATGTCTAATTTTAGCCATTATTCTTAGTCTCTTTTTCCAGTATAATTATCTGCCCCATCTCTACATTTCATGTTTGTTCTTTTAATGAAGTGGCTTTTCTGTTACTGTGCTAGCTCCTATGAGAAAGCAAAGGTTATTATATTCCATGGAAATAATTGTTACCCTGTTGAGGCAAATAAGTTACATCCCTGCATGTAGCCATGCTTAAAGGATAATTTTCAAAATAGCAATCATGACTTATACAAGTATAATGTGAACACATATCAAAGATTTTGTGTAACTTGTGAAAGATTTTACAACTAGCTCAAAGGAACAGACACATATAAGTAGTCACTGAATGCTGAAATGAATGTAGTAATAGGTACAAAACTGGCCAATAAAATGTCATGTTTGGAATCATCTCTTGGGGAGCAAGAAAGACATCAACTACATCTTCATAGGACATTCCTTTGCAACTTTAATGGGTGAGAATCATTTGATTACTATCAGTTTTCTGTAGCTTTCAGAGCTGTAAAATAATCCAATCAAAGACAGAGAAAGGCGTAGACCCCTGTAGAATCAGGTAACCAACCCTATGGGGCCCTAGCACAATGCCAGCATTCCACTGAAAGAACACCTCACAATCTTTTCTGCTGATTACAGTCTTTTACAGTTTTTCCTGACAGCAAGGTAGGAGGCTGAAACTGAGAAAGAGGATCTTCGGTAGATGAGAAAGGAGATACTCCACTATCGCTATCCCGAGTCTGGCCTTGAAGGAGTCCTCATGGCCAGGAGTGCATTCCTGGGGATGGGAAGGAAAGGTGGCTTTTGTCTTGAAGGTGCAGGATGGGAGCTAAGCAAGATTCCTTTCTTTGTTTGACATGCTAATGAGTGGGTCTCATCCTGCAAAGCAGATTGTTTATTTCCATATTATTCACTTTCCTTATTTATTTATTTATTTATTTATTTGTTTGTTTGTTTGTTTGTTTATTTATTTATGTTAACCTTTAATAAAGGTTAGCAAAGTCTTTATTAAATGCCTTTCAGGCTGGTCTCAGATGCATAGAAAGGGACATGGAGAAGCCCTGTGCTTGCTCTCTGTCATGGAGTGAAGTGGGAAGCAGCGCCTCCAGAAGCCATTTGGTTGATGGTAATTAATGAGAGCCCTCCTACCCCTGGAGACACAAGGTCATCTTTTCTTACCATATAGTTTCTTCAGTGCCTACCTTGATAAGCTATTTGTGAGATAGTATTTATTGAGACATTGTTGTTATAGAAAGACATAGTCCATGCCCTCAAAGAGCTGAGACACGCATGCAGTAAATAAGTATAGCTGAGTGTTATAACCACTAGAAAGTCTCTTGCCCATTTCTAATAGAGTTGTCTTTAGATTATTGAGTTATAGTAGTTCATCATATAATTTAGATATTTGTCAGTTGTTCATTTTGGAATGGTTTCTACTATTCTGTGGCTTACCTACTCATTTTCTAAATATTATCTTTTGATGAGTGAAAGATTTACTTTTGATTGAGTCTAAGTTATCAAAATTTTTGGTTATAGCTTTGTGTATCCTGTCTAAGAAATCTTAACATATTTTCAGGTTGAGAATATATTCTTCTGTTTTCTTCTATAAGGTTTGTATCTTTATTTTATATATTTAGGACTATGGTCCATCCACCTCAAATTGATTTTTATTTATGTTGTAAAGTTGGAGTTGAGGTTCATTTTTTCCCATATGGATCTCCAGTTCTAGCACCATTTGTTGAAAATACATTTTTGCCCTTTGAGTTGTTTGGCCAAATGTAGGGTTATTCCTGAATTCTGTTCTATTTCTTTGATCTACATGTATATCCTTATATCAATTTTGCACTGTCTTGATTACTGTAGTAAGTCTTGAGATGGGTAGTATAAGTATACCTTTCTTATTATTTTTTAAGATTCTTTTGGCTATTCTAAGTCCTCTATATTTCTACATAACTTTAAAAATCACCTGGTTCATTTTTATTAAAAAGCCTGCTAGGACTATGAATTGTAAATTACTTTGGGAGAGAATTAAGTTCTTAACAATATCAAACCCATGAATATAGTGTGTGTGTGTATATATATTTATACATGTATGTATGTGTGTGTGTATATGTGTATATATGTATATATGTGTGTATATATATGTGTGTGTATATATATATATTTCCCCATTTATTAAGACCTTCTAAAATTTTTCTTGGCAATGTTTTGGTTTTTAATGTAGAGAATTTGCATGTCTTTTGTTAAATGTGTTATTAAATATTTTGTTATTTGGTGCTATTTTATTTAGATTTTAAAATTTATTTTTAACTTTTTTTCTGCTAGTATATAGAAATACAATTGATTTTATATGTTGCTCTTACATCGTGAGACATTATTACATTCACCAAGTTTTTAACACACAGTTCCTGAGCACCATGGACTGTCTTCCCTTCATGTTTTAATATGGTTTTTAAAATTTGAATGTTTTTGTCGCTTAGTTTTGCCCCAAAAGAGAGCCAGTGTGAATGCCGAGGCATTTGTGAAGTCTTTTGACTTCACAGTAAGATTTAAATAGTTCCTCCTAGGAAAGTCTCTATTAGAACATTTGTCACTTTCAGTCTTGAACAAGCTATTCTTTGAAGTCCAGAGCTGTGCTTTATCTCCATTCCATTCCCACAATACCTAGCACGGTGCCTTTGTTCACAGTTGAGGAGTACATCTTTCCAACATTTATCTTGGGAGGTATGGGGAATTACGTAGCTCTGGGGTGTGGGAGGGGAAAATCCTGACGGGCAACTTTAATCCATTGGAAACAATTCCTGAGTATGTCTTAGAAAGGTAAAACAGACCTTTGATAAAAAACATACCGTGTATTCTTGCTATTTAAAGATATGTTTACTAGTAGATGATCTGCTACTCTCTAAACAACTTAGGTTTTTGCTATCAGTTTTGAATTTCTATAAATTATGTTTCCTCTTACTTTCTCCTGGTTTTCTAGGTGGCTGACTGTGCTTGGGATGAAACGATAAAGATATACGATCCTGTTTGTCTTACTTTGCCTGCTTGAGATACACTACTCTGATCAGAAACAAAGAACATTGGCTGAAGAACTACTTACCAGGAAATAAATTAACTATTGATAACATAGTCATTATGCTTTTATATGCTATTCAGATTTCAAATGTTAAAAACATACCCTGAATCAGTTTAGAGGCAGCTGATACAGACTTTGGCTCATCCTTTAAGCCTGACACATAAGCCATATTTCTTAAAATTCTAAGGAATAATTGATGTTATGGTATTTCTTACAGTGTGTTAAAATGTAAACTCTGTGTTATAAAATGGATGAAATTTGATTCATATAGGTTATATAGGTAGGGATATATTTTATTTTTAATTTGTCACTTTTGATGTGAAATATAATCACTGCTGTTGATAAAAAAATAAATTGCATCTCTTGATCACTTATTTTATGACATTCCCAACAAGATTACCTTTTTTAATATAATGTACATATGAATACAATACTATATATAAGGTAGCTATATCTTGCTTTAGTGGCAGGGCTCTAAAACGGATTTAATTTATTTAGCAGTTATTTATTGTGCATCTACTATATGCTTGATACATAGACTGAATGGTTCTCTCAAGGATTGTTTCCATGATTTAAGAATATGGAATGCTGTGAACTGAGCTTTATTTTCTTTTCTTTTTTACAGTTCTGCAAATCTTTTTAGATAGCGTATCCATGGTCCTATATTTCACTCATTCTACTTCTCTGCTATCAAAAGTTTAAAAAAAGAAAAAAAACAAAAACTGGTTACTAGACAAAATGTCTTAGATCCTACTATGGTTTCAAGCAATTACCCTGGAAACAAACCCTAAATAATGCTATAAACCTTCCTCACTACCTCCCTACATGTCCTTGAAAAATCTCTAGGTGTTGATGATCTGTAAAAAAAATAGGTTAAAAGGGAAAAAATAGTAAAATAAACAACTTTGCATAACATTTATATTTTTATATAAAATTTAAAAAACGTATCATAAATGGCAAAATTTGTTGTTAAATTTTAACAAGCTTTTTGAGGATTTTTAAAGAGCAAAATACAGTTGTAGTAATCAGAGCCAAAATAAATTAAAATATATGTATATTATCTAATTTACATATCTTTCTTTGCTTATTCCAGAAAAAAGTTAAGATCGCTTACAAAGTAAAGGAAAAAATGAGATCACATAGAAAATAGAACAAAAGGAGACAAAGTAGAGCCAGGTGTAGGGCTTGAAAATATATGTCTCCGAGTCCTAGAATGTTGCAACTGGCAGCATAAATGGGAAGCCTGGTCAAGTACACAGTTCAATACCCAAGGCCTGAGGGCAAGAACTTTGTCCTAGTCCTGGGCTTGGCCTAGCATCATGCCTAGCACATAGACGGTGCTCAATATCTGCTAAATGAATGAAAGGACTCAGGGAAAGTACAGCTCTTTTTAGTGCTTAGACAAATCAATACTAATTGTTTTCGAGAAGCCCCATAAAGAGGACACTGCTTAACATGAATATATGGTAAGGAACAAGACACTCAAACAGCCTTAGAGCTGTCATGGCGATGAGATTCATAGAGCTGTTTCTTGTTGCTTCCCTCTACAGGAACTAATGGCATCACACCAAGTGCAGTTCAGTAAAAGCAGGTTCACTGTGGATGTTCTCTGTGTCAGCAGAATTTATAATAGACCCGTACAAATACCTATCCCGGATCATACTTCTAATTAATTGAAATTACTTAATTTCCTTTTACAAGAGACTTTCATTGAAATAATCTACCTTGTATCTTTTGAGACAAATATTTGTGATTTAGAAACTAACATCTTTCTAAATATTTCCCCCCTCTATATTGGGGATGTTAGCAATATTTAGAAGACTATAATAACTTCATAATACTTAACTCAGGTTCTTGGAGACTCCATATAAACGAGTGTGAGTGAATATTTGCCCTGTGGGTCCCCTAGAGACGGGATTGGAAAAACTACATTGGGAAACTAGAAGGAAAGGAGCTTGGATTCTCTCTGAAAAGAGAATGGGCAAGATTTTTGAATTCTTGATAGTCCACAAGCCAAGCAGTCTCTGAATTTTAAGAAGACAAGAGTCATTCCCTCCAGGCTGGGAAATTCATTTGTTTTTTGGCTACTGAGCTCTGAGCTTTCACTGTCTGCCTCCCCAAGCTCCTCCTGCACCTGCAGTGACAGCACAGCACTCCAGAGTGAGTGCAGGGAAAGGGAATGGGTCCCCCAGCATTTCTGTGATCTGGGCACTATGTGAGATGCTTTCTGTATGTTATCCCTTTTCATCTTCATAACATCCTTGCAAAGGAAGCCCTGCCCGTTTTCCAGACAAGGAAATGATGGCTCTCGGGAGAATTAATACCCAGGAAGGATGGAGCTGGAATTTGAAAACTGCTATAACTGGACCCAAACCTATGGTTCTGCCACATGGCCTCCTTTCCCTCAGAACAGCAGAAGTAGGCCCACTGAGGAGCAGGAAAGATGTGGACATCTGGTGACGAGATTCTGGTCATTCCTGAGAGAACTGACAAAGTTGAGTTTCCAAGACGAAAGAGCTAAGAAGCTGACTCTGGGTCTGGAATGACTTTTCCAAGGTCTGTCACCTGCTTCGGCATTTTTAAACTGCATATCTTCGCTATGGCTTGGCTCTTCCAAAAATGAACTGATTCATTTCTTACTTAATAGGCCTCTTTTTGAATGGAAATAATCTGTTTAAATGTTTTTTTACTTCCATCTATTACTGGGTACTTCCGAATCTGTATCTCCTGCCTTCCCCACCTGGGCCTCCCACCACCTTTGCATTCATATTCTTCCAACCAAACTCACCTTGCTCTCTAAACCAGCTTTTCCTGCACATGCCTTTTCTTCTGCCAATACTGTCCACCTGGGTGCTCAAGCTAAAGACCTAACTACCATCTTTGTTCCTTCCCTTTTTCCCACTTCTCCACTTGAAGACACATCAGATAGGTCACTAAGTTCTGTCCCTTTAACCCCCTAAATACTTCTCCATTCTGTCTCTTCCCCACCATTCAACCACCACTGCCCCAGCTCAGGCCACCATTAGTTCTTCTCTAGGCGATCGAGGCAGTTTCCTAAGTGATGCATCTGTTTCTCGTTCTGTCCCCTCAGAGTCATCCTCTTCAACAGAGCTGCCAGAGACGGATCTAAAATGCAATTGCATTACCCCAATTTCAGTGTCAATCCGTTCTCTGCTTACAGGATTGCCTACAAGAAAAAGTTCAAGCTCACTGAGCAGAGACAGCTAAGGTCCCTGCCCCTCTGCAGCATTGCTTAGCTCCACATTGTCACACACTTTGTGCTTCAGCAACTCCAGCATGCTCACAACTCCTCGTGTAAATAATGCAGGTTTTCATTTCTCTCTTTGCTCAAGGCAGTCCATGTGCTCGGATTGTGTTGTTCTTGGCTTGGCAAATTCTTACCCACTAGTTGAAAGTCATGTGAAATGACTAAAGAAAAAGATTGACAACATACAAAAATTAAAATATTCACACACACCATGAGCAAAGCTTAAAGACAGAAGACATATTTGGAAGGATGTATTTGCGGGTATCTAATGGTTAGGTAGAATTGATAAAGAGCTCTAAGAAGTTTGTCCACTTTTATCAACAAACGATTCACAGATGTAGAAATGCAAATGTCTAATACACTTCAAAAAGATACTCAGACACTGCGGACAAAGAAATGCAAATTAAAATCCCATTTTATCAGTTTGGCAAATGTAAAATATTGACAATATTCAGTAATGGTTAAAGTAAAAGCACTGTTATGTACTTGTTTGCAAGGCAATGTGATATAAAATTTAAAATTACCAGTTGACCCAACAGTTCCATTTTTAGGATTCCCTGCTTCTGCTGCCCTCCCTTCCTCCTCTCATTTTCCACTCTATCCCTACAAATAATTACAGAAGTACTTAAGTACAGATTTCCAAAGGTATTCACTACATCTTTGATAAAACCTAGATACCTGTCTACAGAAGGAAGCTTATACTATAGAGCAGTCATTTAAAAGTATAAGGTAGAACTATGTGGCCTGACATGTGAAAATACATTCCTATTGATATGCATATAGTTATCTATTTCTGTGTAACAAATCATTTCAAAATTTAGCCCCTTAAACATTTCTTTATCTTACAGCTTCTATAGGTCAGGGATCCAATAGTGGCTTAGCTGAGTCGTTCTGGCTAAGGTTTTCTCATGACATTGCAGATAAGCTGCCACTTGGGTCTACAGACATCTGAAGTTCATCTGGGGCTAAAGAATCGGCTTTCAAAGTCACTCACGTGGTTGTCGGCAGGCCTCACATACTTACCCTATGGGACTCTCCACTGGCTGAGTGTCCCTTTAACGTGGCATCTGGCTTCTCCCTGAATGAGTGATACAAGAAGAAAAAAAAAAAGTCCAAAGCGGAGGCCTCAGTTCTTTATGACCTATCTCAGGAGTGACAGCATCACTTCTGCTGTATTCTGTTGGTTACACAGACCAACCCTGGTACAAGGTGCAAGGGGTTAACCAAGGATGTGAATAACAGAAAGCAGGAGATTTTTGGGGATTATCTTGGAGGCTGGTTACCACACAGTGCTTTTAAAAATAGCAAATTATATGCAAATGTGTATTTTATTTTTTAAAGGGGATTTATGTATGTATAAATAAATATACAAGAAAAAATTGAGTGGCTCACACCAAACTCGTAACATTAGCCAGTTCTGTGTAGTGGGGTTGGTGCTGAGAAATAGTGAAAACATGTTCATAAAAAAAAAAAAAAAAAGAAAAGAAAACTGTTCTCTTATTTATAAAGTTTGTTTTCCTTTATATACTATAAAGAGCATGTGTTATTTTTTTTGTTAAAAAGAATGAAAGAAGACCCTATTTCCTTCTGCAGGGAGCCTCACTGATAACCCTGTGAAGCTGGAGTGTATTGCCCTCCTCAGTGCTCTCAGATTTCTGCCACAAGACCCACAATTGCAGGAGCCTCTTTGTGGTGCCTCATCTCCACCTGTGAATCTTACGGCTAGAATGAGTGCTCGTCTTTGAATCCTCTGTAGCTAACACTGCTCTGTATGTCTGTTGACTGAGTTTATGTAATGCCACCAATATTTATTGAGTAGCTCCAAAGATAATAGAGCTTGAATCTAGACCCTTGCTACCTTGATAGCTCTTTTTTTTTTTTTTTTTTAACCTTCAGATTCCCATTCTTGTTCAATTATCTTGCTAACCACAGTATTCCTATTTCTCTCATTTTTTTCTTTGGGATTCTATCTAGTAACTGGTGTTGGAGATGGTGTTAATTTTTAAAATGAGAGCCCTAATGGAAAAGAATTATATGCAATAGAGAAAATGTACTCTGTTTCATGCCAATGTAGGCTTCAAAAATTAAACTAAAATTTCTTGCCTAAATGAGAAGGGTAAGAGAGCTGAATCAGCCCCAAAATCTTTTACCTAATGTTCATATCACAAATGGAAGCAGTTATAATTGCTGGCAGAAATGAATCATTCCAAAACTAGGTCTGTGCTGACAATTCTTTATTGTGTTCACTCAAGATGGCTTAAAGCAGCCATCCTTTAATTGCAATGCTCCCCAAAAGCAGACATGTGTCATTTGCTGATGGCTTTAAAAGTTATTTTCAGAGAGTTTTTTTCTTTTATGAGTGTATTTGAATATATGCTTACGCACACACATAATTTGAACTGTTGCTTCAGACTTCATCATTTCCTAAAGAAGGAACAGTATCACATAAGAAAAAGCAGAGTCCTTGAAATAGCCATGTAACCAGAGCCTCTAACAACAAAAACCAAACGTTCCCTGGGGAGCACGGGTTTCCCATAATGCTTTCCAGTGTGATTCCTGGAAAGTTGGCATAGTGGTGGGTCATTCGCAAACATTTTCTTGAGTGCCCACCTGTGGGAGGCAGGGTGTTCCCTGCTAGGGGCTCAGCACGGGCGCTGGAGGTTAGTTCCAGAGCCAAATCTCTCTCACCCAGGCGAGCTCCCAGCACCTACAAATGCTGCCAATCCCAGATGTAACTTATTTTTCTGCTGTGATGGCAATCGCGGTTTCCATCTGGGCTGGAAGAGTTGGGCTCGGCACAAAGGTGGAAACATGGAGGACAAAAAAGAACCACCAGAGAGATGGATTTAAACGTTAGGAGTTTGGGATGCGGCTGCGGGGGGGGGGGGGGGGGGGGAATGGGAGGGAGGGGCAGGGTGTGTGTGGCTGGATTAGAGAAAAGACGGAAGGAGAGGCAGAGCGCATCTAGAGCTCTCTCCCTGGCACCCAAACCCTGACCCTGTCCAAGGAGCGCGAAAACCAAACTGGCTCTTAACCGTGACCTCGTCTGAGCGAATGATGGGATCCAGGCATTACTTTCCAGGGACGGAAGTTCAGATAAAAGGGTCACCAAAGTCTGGCGCTTCAGAACATGAGAGTTTTCCTTTTTCTCTTAGCCGAGTGGGAAGCTGACAGTTCACGAGTCCTGCGGGACACGGAGGTGCCCTGGCCGGGGAGGCAGGAGATGGCGGTGGTCCTGCTCACCGCGGCCCGCAGGCTGCAGAGGGTTCCCGGGACTCACAGAAAGCCTACACCCGGGCTCAGCTCGGTCAGGGTCCCGGTTCCAGCCCGCCACGCCCTCTCTTCCCACCTCCGCCCTCCCCCGCCCCCCCGCACCCCACTCCCTGGCGCGGCCAGTGGCTCGCAGCCCACCCCCGGGGGCACCTGCGCCCAGGCGCTCCTCCGGAACCCACACCGGCTCCTCGCTCCAGAGACTCAGTTTCTGCTCCTTGGCTAACATCACGTCTTTGCTCCACTTGGAACACGTGCCCCCGCCCCCTCTCCACAGCCACGGAGGCCACTGCGACCCCGGAAGCTCCCCGGAGCCGCGCGTAACCCCAGATTCCCGCTCCCCCCCCCCCCCGGGAGGCGTGAGTTCAGGGTGTGGGGTGCGGGGGACCCGACTTTCCCATCCGCGTCCCGGGCATCGGTTTCCTCCAATGTCGGAGCATCAGGCCGGAATCTAGAGCACCGGGGAACTCCCGGCCCGCTGGCACAGACCCCCCTGGTCGGCAGCGGGACCAGATCCCGCGGCTGCGCCCGCAAGGACCGTGGGGGGAAAGCCATGCAGCCCGGGGGCGGGGGCGGGGAGGGGAGCGAGGCTGGGGCGCTGTCACTTGTTGCCACTAATAACGGGTGTTGGACCCTGGGGCGCTGTGGTTCCTAAGATCTTTAGCTGTGCCAGGATCAGGGAAGACAGGGCAAACCGGCACAGCTGCCCCTGCGGGGGGAGACGGGACAGCACCCCGAGAGCCCGCAGGCGGGGGCGCCGGGTGCCCGAGGGGCGCGGGCCCCGTCCGCTGGCGGCAGCAGCTGCCCGGGTTCCCAGCCTCCGGGTCCTCCCTGACGGTGATCCGCGCGGGACACAGCCCATCGCAGCAGCTCGTCACCTCCCTCCGAACCGCTGTCGCTAGGATTCCCGCCACTCCTCTCAGACCGGCCCCCCCACCCCGCCACTTTTCGGAGTGAGTCCTCCGCCCCCGTCACTGCCGAGCGCGGGGCAGTCGCACGCGGAGCCGCCGAGCCGCGAGGACGCCTGGCGGGAGCTGCCCTCCGCGGCCGAGCCGGCGCCCCCTGCCGCGGGCCCCCTGCCCTCCGCCCGCGGCGCGGGGCTGGTCCCCGCCGCCCTCCTCCCGGCTCCTCCCGGCTCCTCCCGCCCCGCTCCTCCCGCAGGGCCTCCCCGCCGGGCTCCGCGGAGGAGCGGGCGGGCGCGATGCGGCGGCTGTGCCGGGGCCGCCTGCTGGGCATCTCGGTGGCCATCGCGCACGGGGTCTTCTCGGGCTCCCTCAACATCCTCCTCAAGTTCCTGCTGAGCCGCTACCAGTTCTCCTTCCTGACCCTGGTGCAGTGCCTGACCAGCTCCGCCGCGGCGCTGAGCCTGGAGCTGCTGCGGCGCCTCGGGCTCATCGCGGTGCCCCCGTTCGGCCCGAGCCTGGCGCGCTCCTTCGCGGCGGTCACCGTGCTCTCCACGCTGCAGTCCAGCCTCACGCTCTGGTCGCTGCGCGGCCTCAGCCTGCCCATGTACGTGGTCTTCAAGCGCTGCCTGCCCCTGGTCACCATGCTCATCGGCGTGCTGGTGCTCAAGAACGGCGCGCCCTCGCCCGGGGTGCTGGCCGCCGTGCTCATCACCACCTGCGGCGCCGCCCTGGCAGGTGAGCGGACGCCGCCGACCCCATCCCACCGCACCCCACCCATCCAGAGACCCTCACCCCACCCCAGGGACCCCCACCCCACCCGAGACCGCAGGGATGACCAGCGCAGCGTCCTCACTTCCCGATGGGGCGACCGAGACCCACAGGCGCAGAGTTGGACCGTGTCGCTCGGCTGCAAGCGCGACTTCTGAGACCCAGAGGCGCCTTCTCCAGCGCTCTGGCCTCCCCGGTCAGAGCTCCCACCCCCACCCACCCCGGCCTGGCTTTCGACCCCCGCCCCTGCCTCACCCCGTATCGTTCTTCCCGCACCCCGGTCCATCCCCCTTCGCCCCTTCCTTCCTCCGGGAGGGGTGGGAGAGCCGCCGAGCCGGGCGCTGGACGCCCAGACCGCGCCGGAAGGAAGGAGGGGGCCGACCACTTCCTCGGGTCACGCGGGCTGGCGTGGGGGTGGGGGCCGCCCGGGCTGGTTTGGGGGCTCCGGCGGCGCCGCGCGGGGGGCTGCGGGGGGCGCGGGGTGCCAGGGGCCGCGTGGAGACCGCGTGGGCTTGGCCGGCTGAACGGGCCGGGGGCCGGCGGGAGCGGGAGCGCTTTTGGGGCGAGAGGGCCATTCTTCGCCCGGCGCCCAGCCCGCCGGAGTCAGAGGCTACTCCTTGGGAATCCCTTTTCCCTCTGGCACCCCACGAAGGGGCAAGGATCCCAAACCCCTGGCCACCTCTCAGAGCCATCGCCTGCCCGAGGGCACTGCGCTCTCCGGGGCCTCTGAGGGGGACAGAGATAGACAGGAAGGGAACGTGGCAGGGAAGGCGCCCCCCTCCTCCTGCCTGGCATGGGGCACTGGCCATTGTCTACCCACGGCCGGAGGTGGGGCAGGAACCCCGTCTGTTTCTCAACCCGACGCGTCTCCCCGGTGGAGAGCCACCCGCGCCAACCTGGTGTCTTGTCTCTCTGTCTCTGTCTCTCTCTCCCCTGGCTCTGTGGTCCTCTCCCTGCGCCCCAGGAGCCGGCGACCTGACGGGCGACCCCCTGGGCTACGTGACGGGCGTGCTGGCGGTGCTGGTGCACGCCGCCTACCTGGTGCTCATCCAGAAGGCGAGCGCCGACACCCGGCACGGGCCGCTCACGGCGCAGTACGCCATCGCCATCTCCGCCACCCCGCTGCTGGTGGTCCTGTCCTTCGCCAGCACCGACGCCATCCACGTGTGGGCCTTCCCCGGCTGGAAGGACCCCGCGATGGTCTGCATCTTCGCGGCCTGCGTCCTGATCGGCTGCGCCATGAACTTCACCACGCTGCACTGCACCTACATCAACTCGGCCGTGACCACCAGCTTCGTGGGCGTGGTGAAGAGCATCGCCACCATCACGGTGGGCATGGTGGCCTTCAGCGACGTGGCGCCCACCTCCCTCTTCATCGCCGGCGTCGTGGTGAACACCCTGGGCTCCGTCATCTACTGCGTGGCCAAATTCCTGGAGACCAGAAAGCGGAGCAGCTACGAGGACCTGGAGACGCAGCAGCCGCAGGGGGAGGAGGCACAGCCAGGTGGAGACCAGCTGCCTTTTGTCATGGAGGAGCTGCCGCAGGATGAGGAGGAGGAGGTAGCTGGCGGGGCAGAAGGTGGAAAGGTAGCAGGTGGCTCCGCTCAGCAAAGGGGGCGAGGGGTGAGGGGCAGCCCTGGAGGAGTTCCGCTGGCGCCTGGTGCCTGGCAGATTGCAGACAGCTCTGAAGAAGCCAGCAGAAAGTCACTGAGGGATGCTTACCTGGTAGTGTGGAGGCTAGTCAGGGGAACCAAGTATACAAAGAAGGATTATTTGGTGGAAAATGAGGAGTTGCCCAGTCCTTGAAAAGGAAACACATGTATGTAGATATATGTACATAGATTCTTATTTCATATCTTAGAGACAACGTATTTTGATGAGGGCCTGCCCAATTTTATTCTTTGAGGAGTGGGGGCAGGGAAGCAAAGAAAGAATCTGAATCAGACTGATAGCAACAAAACGAGCACTGGTGTGAATTATTTAGCATCAGTTTACCTGAGGCATAACCAAGACAGAAGAATATGAAGGTGCTTAACAAAATAAGACAGCGGGCTCAGCTGCAGACTCTGGCACATTTTTTGACATTATGACCATAACCAAATATCTGCATGTACTCAGTCCCTCAACCACCCCCTTCAAAGACGGAGTGTAGACACGGTGGCAGCAGGTAATCGGCTCAAAGATTACATCCAAGGGCACATTTTTGATGATAGAACTACTGTTTTTTTATGGCCAGCTGGGCAAAGAGTATATTATTGAAAAGATATATAAATACACTGAATTGATGTTTACTGTTTATAGTCATCTGAAATATCATGTTTACTCATTACTTGTTTTTTGTTTTTTTTTAAATGAGAGTTCTACTATTCTATTATGCATTGGTAAGAAATGTCAAAGCTATTTTGAAAATGTGAGTTCTTAGCTTTAATCATCCAGTTTAATGTTGGCTTTGAGTAATTACTATAAAAATATTTTAAAAGTTGTTTTGGTTCACCGCTTCGTAATATTTATTATTGAATGCCATGACCTTTTTAAATACCAGTTTTACTGTGTCCAATATTCTCTCAAGCAAATGCAATGGCTGAAATAGAATTCAGCATTAAGAAGCCCAAACAGAAGTAAAACCTTTCTATTCAGCTAGTCCTTGCAGATCGCATTGCACATTCCAAACCTTGTTACAGAAAGAGCAATTGCTATATTCACTTGATATTTTTCTATCTTATATTTGTCAAAATAAAGTCTGAGTCTATCTGCTAAAAGACATATTGTTAGGAACTTGTTGGAGACACATTGATGTTCTATGGTTGCTGTGTAGCTTGTGTGTGCCTTCAATGCGTGGTGTCCAGCATCTGGTATGTAGGGGCCACCCCATTGGGAACTTCCAAAATTAGCATGTGGATTTAGGTTAACACAACAAGAACACTCTTGTTTTCCAGCCAAGAAAACCCATTATAAAGTAAAATAAAATACTGCCTCACGCTGCAGAATGCAAGCCATCCACAGCTGACTTTGGTTAAAGTGGAGTTTGAGACATAATAGCAGAGTCTTCTGGTTAGCCCCATCCGGGAGAGGGACTTTGACGCTAAAAGCCAGTATGTACCTGAGACTCTCAGATGGTAGCATCCTATGTTTTTCTTTGTTTTCCAAAATCTAAACAAAACAAAAAGCAGAGGCAGAAATGGAGTTTTAGCTCCATCAGTTTGACTTGACAAGCAGGCGAGCAAGTGTAATTGTGCTAGTTCTACTATTCTATTCTACATTGGTGATTGGTCCTGGTTTACTAGTTTTCACGGGCAATTGTTCATTTCCATAGGCACCTCTAGAAGATAGTTTAGATGTAGGAGCCCTCATATGACTGCAGATAGAAATGGTTGACTAGGGTTATAATGACTTCTTTAAGAATAAGCATTTATGTAATTTAATGAAATTAATTAGAATTAGTGAAAAGCAGCAAAGTTGAATGAAATATATATATTTGTTAATACCACTGTCAGGTAAATGGATAGAATGATTATCTTTCACTGGAAAAAAATCCCTTTTGATTAAAACTGGGGGTTTGTGAAAAGATTTATTGTGAAAAGATTAACTCCTTCCTGTCAACAGATGTGTCCAGGCACTGTATCAGTTAGAGTTTTCCAGAGAAACAGAGCCAAGAAAGCTGGGCCTCTTTAAGAACTCCTACTTAGTTTGTTACCCTGCATCTCCTTCAGCTGTAATCCATTCGGATATATATATATATATATATATATATATATATATATATATATATATTATTGATTTTTTTACAGAGAGGAAGGGAGAGAGATAGAGAGCTAGAAATGTCGATGAGAGAGAAACATCAACCAGCTGCCTCTTGCACCCCCCTACTGGGGATGTACCCGCAACCAATGTACATGCCCTTGACCGGAATCGAACCTGGGACCTTTCAGTCTGCAGACTGACGCTCTACCACTGAGCCAAACCGGTTTTGGCCACTTGGTTCTATTTTAACTCTGCCCTTTAACTGCTCTGTGCCCTTGAGAAAGTCACTTGCCCTCTCTGTGCAGCAGTAGCCTCACCTGGACAATGGCCCACAGCTGCTCCTCCAGGAGTGTGGAGTGATTGTGTGTGTGTGTGTGTGGGTGTGCAGCACTTGCCCTGAGGGCATTCTGCTTCCTAGTCAACACCTCTGCCCCACCACCCTTCTCTCCCACGCCTCTGTGTTTTCCAATGGTCTTAGGTGACCCTGCTAGCAGTTCTCAACCTGTGGGAAACACAGATATTTACATTACGATTCATAACAGTAGCAAAATTACTACTAGCAATGAAAATAATTTATGGTCGGGGTCACCACAACATGATGAACCTGTATTAGAGGGTCTAGAACCACTGCCCTAGAGAGTAGTTCTTCTGATGGAGAACCCTATCAGTAGCCTAGTTCAGTGGTCGGCAAACTGTGGCTTGCAAGCCACATGTGGCTTGTTGGCCCCTTGAATGTGGCTCTTCCACAAAATACCACGTGTGGGCACACACATATAGTGCAATGGAAACTTCTGCAATGTGCAGAAGTCAGTTTTTGGCTCTCAAAAGAAATTTCAATCATTGTGCTGTAGATATTTGGCTCTGTTGATTAATGAGTTTGCCGACCACTGTCTTATATAATAAAAGGCTAATATGCAAATTGTTCCCTCCACTGGGAGTTCATCCAGGACCTGGGCTGGCTAGCCAGCTGCTCGAGGCTCCTCCCCCCAGCCAGCCCAGTCCAAGTGTCATGGCCAGCAGAACCCTGCCTGTGCACAAATTTGTGCACTGGGCATCTAGTATAATATTTCATAATGATGACTCTTTTCCAGAGTGCCAAGGTTTCCTGGAAGTCAATCTGTGAAAATGTGGACTTTCCCAGGAGTTTCTCACTCTCATGATAGTCCATATTTCTCACTCCAGAAATTTATCAAATTTGCTATTTAAATATTTATACCAAAGTATAGCTCTGGTGGCTTCTGCCCCAGGTAAGGTCTTGCTGTAACTTTTTGGATTCACCTGTCTGTCCAGATTTGGCAGAGGTGGTGGGGGTCCAGGGGAGGGAATGTTCCTCCTTTCTCTGGTGGGTCCTAGAAAAGTTGCCGATTTTCTGTTAACTTATATTTTTCTTCCTGTAAGAATGGGAGTAACAACTTCTCAGCTCTTTACATGGTGAAGCTGGAGCTAGAAGTCCTGATTGAACACTTTTGAAAAGCCAGCTTGATTTCTAAAAAGACAGAAGTTGTGAAGGGAAGCTAGACATTCCTAAGGAAATTTCCAAAAGGAAATACAAGCACTCAAAGCTACTGGCCCTGCTTGTAACTCCTGCCCTCTCACATCTCAGGCTCAGGGGTGGGCAATCCTGTACTCAAGCATGGTGACATATGCATATGAGTGTGGGCAACTTTTGAGTCCAGTGCATTGTGAGCAGGAGTCAATGCACTCTGAGATTGGTGTGCCATGGCAGTTGTCATTTATATACCCCCTCCCCCCATTCTTTGTCTTGGGGTGCTATTTCTTCATAACAGAAATATCTTCTGGATTTTTTTTTTTTTTTTACCATGTTCCTACTACTGGCTATGATATCCATAGTGATGACTATTAACCTCTAGTGATGTTAACCTCTAGTGATGACTGCTGACCTGACTCACCTGTTGCCTCCATCTCTAGATATCATTTTAGGTCAGACTTCATCACAGCATCTGCTGAAACTGTTCCCTCTCCCTGGCCACTCTCTGCCCCTGGGCCCCACCCCTTACGTACATAACAAGTATACATACATTCCTCTCTGTATCTGCGTTGTCCTACTCCCGAGATAAAATGGCAGGGTTCAGAAAAGAGCCTGTGAACAGAATAGAATAGAACATAGAATAACAGGATGCACAACTAGTAAAATGGAGTCCTAAACCCCTATGGGGAACTAGCCCCTCCCCATTTCTGAGTTCATGTGTTCAGATGGTGTCGACTGCATCCTTCCACCCTCAGTGTTTGACTCCTGCCAATCCAATCAAAGGGTTTTCTCCAATTGGAAACTCAGTTAGTTCAGGCATAGTCATGGGACCTGGTCATAGCCAATGAGGTGCCCCCACCCTCCTCAGAATAGACCCCTTTCCTGAAGTCACCCTTACTGTAGATTTAAGCCCCACAGTTCCTTATTTTTTCATTATTTTACTCAAAAAGTAACTGGAGGGGTAACCATACTGTTCTTTAAACAAAAGAGCAGTTGTCTTCACTAGTTCCTAGATAGGATGTTTGTATTCCCCCAAAATTCTTATGTTGAAATCCTAACCCCCCCAATGTGATGGTATTTGATGATGGTGCCTTTGGGAGGTAATAGGTTATGGGGGGGTGTGTTAGTTCCCTTTATATGATGAGACCTGTGGGCTTGCCTCTTCCCTCTGCTCTCTGCCACATGAGGATACAAAAAGAAGATGATCCTCTAAAAACCAGGAAGCTGGCCCTCACCAGGCCCGGGATCTGTTAGCACCTTGACCTTGGATTTCCTGACCCAGGTTTGTGAGAAATAAATGTCTGTTATATGTAAGCCACACAGTCTGTGGTATTTTGTTATAGCAACCCAAAGTGAGTAAGAGAGGTTTTCAGATACATATACATGGTGGGCACTGCCGTTTTCCCCAGGCATACCTTCTCCCTTCCTCCTTTTAGCACTAGAGTGCATGTTCTGCAGCCGGCACCTGGCTTGTGACCTCAGGCTACACTCCCAAGTCTCCTTGTAGGTGGCTGCAGCCAATGGAAGGTGAATGGAACAGATGTGGACAAGGCTCATATATCACTTGGTTAAAAAA